TTGTTCAGCATGGGGGTGAGTAGAAAATGAAGGCTAATCATGTTTTGGGTGTAATATTCCTTTAAGCTCAAAACCGTCCATATCTCTGGCAGATTTGAATTTCAAAATTATTTCCTTTTAACCAAAACATTTGTGTCAGATAAGGAATGTCTTAAAAATTATAAAACAATATGCAGTGACTACTGATCTGTTTAAATTCACATCATGTTAAAAATGTTTTGGAAATTATTCTCTTAATTATTATAATTTTATTTTTTTTGACCACCCAAAACATGTTCAAATTGAAGGGAACCAGAGTTTATCTCAGTTGTTCCAAATTTGCCATTTGGCATAAGTTTCAAGACAAGGTTTTATGTGCTGGGAAGCTTAAACCACAGTCCTCCCAGTCTGCTTAATTTAGGCTTTTCTCTTTTTGACAAAGGATGCTTCCTTTACCTCTCTCTCAACCCATCTGTCCTTGCAAACATCACAACTTTAGTCCGATTAGAGTAATTAAACATTGAAAAGCTTCTTGAATGATATAACTGGTATTTGATTATTTTATTAGTTACATAGGTATAATGCCTCATCAACTCTGAACAGACTCTAATTGAAAATGTTAATTCTTATCAGAAGAAACCGATTGGTTGAATTAAAAAGATGAGCGTATATTATATATCTTTCAGGGGTATGATTCATTTTGGAATCCCCTATTCCTTTGTATACCCACATTGGATGCAGGTATTAAATGTGTCCTAAGGACGTAATGCACTGTTTATAGTTTATCACTGTGTTGCCATACAGCACAGAGGAGCTGCATCCATGACAGGATATGCTCAAAGAATGAGGTCAGCTGACTACCTGGATATACTGAATTAACAGGTTATTTCATCAGTTTGTTCCGTGATGGAATGGGTCATATATTCAGAGTGGCTGGCTAGCACAAGTGGTAGGTCACCTGTTCTGCAAACAGGAAGCCTGGGTCGTATCCCAGTTTGGTGTAATGAGCTGCCATAGTGGGTCTTTAAGACTCTTCACGCTAGTGCCTGCTTTGGGAAGTGGTATTTTTTTTATTTGATTTAATTTTGTTGCTCTGTACTTGTGATAGTGTAATGACAATTACTAATGAATTAAATATTAGATAAGAATATTTTGGAATTAATATTTCAAAATGAAAATGCCAGGATTCCTCAGGCTTCACATGTGAATGTGGTTCAGGGAGCATGAAAGATCTTTTTCACTCATGGACAGAGTCCAGACCTGAACCCCATTGAGAATCTTTGGGATGTGCTGTAGAAGACTTTGCAAAGTTTTTCATCATCGATCTTGGTGTAAAGTTAATTCAACACTGAGTGAAAACAAATATTGTGACGTTGCAGAAGCTTATCGAAACATCGCCATACTAGTGTGCCCTAATCAGTCCAATTAAATATTAGTGTGACTAATTATTTTGGTGGTGCCTTTTTTGGCTAGGCAGTGTAATAAAAAGGACAAAGTACACACTTATGCTACAGTGATAACCTACTTTAATGCACATTTCATATATATAATCACCAAACTTTAAGTGTTTTTGAATTACAACGAAATGCCAATAACACTAGTTGATGGATATCCATCCCCAGGTGTGATCATGTGAGAAAACAGGTGTTCAGGCAGTTTGCTGGTAAGGAAGAGGAGTAACATAGTTTCAGGTAGGAAATAAAATGGAAATTACACTGATATATACTGAGGATGCTTCTCAATTTATAAAAAACCACATTTTCATTGTAAAAGGACAGAGCTAATTTTCAACTGCAAACGTTCGAGGCAGCCACCAACTTTCCCACCAGGATATGTCCAAACAAAATCACCCTAAGGTCAAACTTACAATTTAGATATATTGCCAAAATCCCAAGACTACAGCTTAGACTCTTCAGATTTGAGTTGGCTTTATTGATGTAGTTCATGATTAAAAAAAAAGTGGGTTTTGAAGGATTGTCAATTGAATTTGTTCTGCTCTCATTCACTGTTTTTAATGCTGCACATGGATAAACCACAAGGTTTTCTTATCCTTTGGACCGATGAGATTAATGTACCGGTAGAAAAATGTGGCCTCAGCACACAGGGCAATGTCTTGTGGAAACCGAGTTCCATCGACACAGAGCACTTGAGCACAGTGGTAGAAAGGAAATGTTTTGTAGTCAGAGGTCCTGTCCCGGACGCAATGCAATCTACTGTAACTCATACTTCTATCCAGATTCACCGGTTTGACAGATGGCTTCATATGCAAGAGAGTCTTATTCCTCCTTGAATTAAATATTTTTCAGTATATTTAGTCACACTGGATCTTGGACTTTTTAATCATTGGATTATTTTAACAACTTGGTCCTAACTTGCTTAGCCTTATTACTTCTTCATTATTTACCCCCTGCATACAAGCAGTCCTGCACCTCCACTGTTATAGTAAATATAAACAGAGAACGTTGATTACAAAAAAAAAAGCAAAAGCAAAAATTAAGTGTGTAGCTTAGTAAAAACTGTGTATAGAAGTTGTATAACATGATCAGTCACCTTTAAAAATGAAATCATGTGGAATATATTTCCCCCATAATGATTATTATCAATTTTTATTTCCCTGTGAAGGTATCATGTTAAGATGCTGCAGAATAGACACTGCAGCCTGTGCCCTAAAGCACTTTATAGGTGCAAGTATGTGGAAAAATGAACCACAGATTATCATGCTAGAAAAACATGGTGCTATAGAATCAAACAGCATCGTAACTATCCATATCCTTAGTCATAGCAACCACAAAACAAGCAACCAAACTCTTGTTCTGTTTTTCTGAAAACTCTTTGACGCCTATCCATGAGTCTTTGTCAGTTCTGTCAGCTTCCGGCGGAGTGATCTGTGGTTGGAGTGTTGGTGTTTTTAATCACGAGGGCCATGCATTCCAAGTCAGATACACTCACTCACCCATCATCCTCCTGCATAGTGGAGTTTCTTGTTGTGTATAGGTTTTGTTTTAAGCCATTTGAATGATAAGTACTCTTGCGTCATCTCTGTAGAATGAGTTCCAGGAACAGGTAGTCGATACTTGGAAGCTAAAACCGCAATCCTCCCTCTCTGTTCAGCGATTGCTTTTCTCTTTTAACTAAAAGGACTTCCTTAAATCCTCCTTAGAACTGTCATCTCAGTCCAAGATCTGGAAAAAAAGAAAAACCTGAATCATAGATGGGTTTTTTTTTTTTCTTCATATTTCTCAACAAATGCTGTCAAGATTTTAAGTAGCAGTCGATTATAACGAGCAGTTTGTCAGCTCTAGTAATAATTGCTACTCAAACTAGTATTTCCAGTTTTCCTTCATCAACCAGTCAGAAAAACTTCAGCACACAATATTTTTTCTTACTCTGTGGTCGTGTTTTCATTTTTATTTTTTATTTTTTTTCAAACTTAAAAAAAGGAGGAAAAAAAACTACCAATATTCATATCCAACATTCACAGCCCTTGCTCAGTTAAAAAAATGATAGACATTTGCCAGCCTTTACAGTTAAGTCTTTTTTTTTTAACAATACCACAAGTTTTTCTTCTCATCCAGGAAGCTTTTTCAATTCAAAATGTCGGAATCAGCCTTGAGTTCAAAAGCTTTATAGATGAAACCTCCACCCCCATGCAGTGGACCAAAACATCTCGCCTGGGCAGCCAGGCCCCAACAGTTGCCCCTAACGACCCCCTTTCAGAGGCATATACCAGTATTGGGTATTGAAAGCTAAAATAACCCCAACGGCTCCCCATTCCTAAGGGACGGACCCGTTCTTATGGGTCAATTTGGATGTTTTCGAAGCCAAAACAACTTTTTTGTGCTACTCTATAAAGCTTTCGAACCTAACACTAATTCTGACATTTTGAATTGGAAAAAGCTTTCTGGATGGGAAGCGAAACTTGGAAGTCCAGTGGATTGTTCTTTACCTTTTTTTGGAATGACTATGACCTGTATGACAGAATATTCATCAACATATCCTCTCACCATAAAGAAAATCTTGAGCCCTTCTCTTCTCATCACTCAGTTTAGATGGCCAGCTATCTCCAAGATGCATCCTGTTGGTTCCAAAATGAAACTATCTATAAACAATTGAGGCCACTGTGCTCATTGAGACCTTTTAACTAAAGGAACATTTTTTATTATCCATCCCCAGATTTGTTCCTGGGAACAATCTTGTCTTGACAATCCAGTCTTTGATCTCATGCTTGGTTTTGCTCTGTCATGCGTCATTAACTTTGTGACAGGTTACCTCAGATCGAACATCACAAAACAAAAAGATTTCCCATTATCATTATTCAGTATTGTTTATAATCTCTTAAATGATACACCAGTTCCATCGTGGAATAATGTACATAGTAATAATAGGAAAGTGTGGAAAAAGAAAAGCCTGTAACCACTTTCCAGTTGGACTGTCAACCTGTGAGACAGGATGACGCATCATTAATCCTGTTAATGGAGGAAAGGTTGTTTTTTTTTTTATTATAGGCATATAAGGCTAATTGCAAAGCAAATTCTGCTGTAATAGTAACAATTTACCCTACAGAATAAAAAATTGTTTGATAAAGATCACTGTAAAATAAAAAAAATATGTATTCAATGTAATTCAAGAATACTTTGATACAACAGGTGAAATTAAATGTTATTAAATTTTTTTATTTTTATTTTCTTATTTGTTGTCTTGAACCTGTCGTAGATGTTGACAGCTGAAGGTAGGAAGAATCTTTTGTAGCTGTCAGTCTTGCACCAGAGCTGGAGAAGCCTCTGACTAAAGACACTGGTGTTGTTTCAGTCTTTTGAAAAGGATTCTAACTGTTATCTTTAATTCTTCATTTTATGAAGAATTAAGAGAGTGTGACCTGAAGAGGTCACACTCTCCACAACAGACTTATAGAAGACATGCAATATCTTTCTCAATACATTGAAGGACCTCAGCTTCCTTTGGAAGTACAATCTGCTCCATGCATTTGGTCTGTATTTTTCCCTAAAATGCACAACACAACCATCAAGGAACTCCCTATATCACTTCACTATGTTTTAAATAACTTTGATAGAATAATTTTACCATCCTTGTTTTAAGTGACTACTCTCGCCTTCCTATCTTGCTAACTATTTTGCATATTTTGATGTGTGTGTTATTTGTTTTTTCAATGCAAATCACAAGCTGATGCAGTATCTTTCCCCCTTATGGTTCAGCTAGACATTTCTCATTACTTGGTTTGGGCAAAGTGCTAATGAATGTTTCAAGAAACATTAAGATGATTTTTTGCCAAGCCAAAATATTCTCCTGTTCAATATTTAAGCGTTGTTACTAATCTTAATTTCTGTTGTTTGTCATGATACCCAGATGAGGACAATCTTACGAGGGTGGATGTGACCGCACTTCTAGTGGGACTCATCTGTGCTGGAGTGGTGCTGGTTGTTGTTGGCGTCTTGATCTGGTATATGTGTCAAGCCAAATGCAAAGGGGACTTCAGTCGTCGTGCAAGGTAAGCTAACTTCTCCATGCACACTTGGGGTAAGATCAGCGGTCTCATTTATCTTTTATTATTGCGTGGGATTTATACTAAAAGTTTGCATACATCCAAAAACTTTTTCAGATTTATCAAACCATGCACACACACCAAAAAAAAGGCACACATTCATGATCAATCTCACAAGCGACTTGTTCTTCCGGTTCAATTTGCATGTTTTCTAAGCCAAAACACGCTTTGTTTGGGCTACTCTATAAAGCTTCAAACTCAACACTAATTATGACATTTTGAATTGAAAAAGCTTCCTGGATGGGAAGCGAAATGTCTTCAAACTTGGAAAACAAACTCAACAGGATTTTTTTTAAAACTCTTTTGGAATGACTATGACCTGGATGACTGAGAATCTTCATCAGCATCTAGACTCCGACTTTACTAAAACCTTAAAGAATCACCAGGATATTGTCAAGAGAAGAGATTAGAGACATCATACAGCGCCTAAAGCTCTACCTTATGTTCGACCCTCTACACATAGGTGCAGTTTGACCGAGACAGAAATAGATGTTTTGGTGAGAGAAGTGGAGAGCTGGGTAAATGTGTTTGGTAGCCACCAGAATGTTGTAATAAATTAAAGGAAGAATTATGAATGGAAACAGTCTGATGGGTGGATTGATCAAAAAAACAATGGCTTCGAAGTCAGAATTCTCCTAAAAGTGCACACGCGTAATAAATGATCATGTGAGCAGTTTTATTTAAAACACGCACACACACACACATAGACTACCACGCACATTTTTAAATGTTCTATGTGTGTAGATTTAATACCACAAGGCCCCCAATATGTCACCAGCGTCAGCGTATGCTCCCTCTCTGCACTCGTAGATTCTCTCCTACCCTAGTCTGAATCTGTTTCTGTCCGCTCATGTCAACACTTGTCACTTTGAGGTCGGAACCAATGTGAGAAATAAGCTACCTTTTGATTGGCTACTGCAGGAGCACGCACTCATTCTTGTGATATAATTGGGCCTCGTGGTAATGAATCTGCACGCATAGATCCATAGATGTGGATAGTAGTTGAAACACGTATTTTAAATAAAACTGCTCATATCATGAGGCGCTTTGCAGACTTATATTAACTGCAAATTTTTAAGATTTTTAAGAATGTGGCAGTTTGTCCTACTTTTTTTTAAAGTGCAAATATACATCATACCTTTTTTTTTTTTTTACACTGATTACAGATAATGAAAAACTATTTCCATATTACTGTAATTCTACTCAAAGAATTTGCTCTAAGGTTCAGATCTTAGAACAATGAACCATTGATCTCTCAATGCACAAGACTGCAGGTCAGCATAATGCCTATCATTTGTTTATTGTTTTTTAATGAAACACATGTATCCTGCTTTTATACCTGCGCATGTTTATTTCCCGTTCTCGTATTACAGCTTGATCAAATTCAGAACATGTGTTTTTAATGAGCCATTTAACTCAGGATGTTTATTTTTGGTGACTATTGAATGTTCATTCATTGTGGGAGTAAATGGCATTAATTCCCAGACTTTTTTAATTTCGAACTGCCCAATTTTCTTAGGCTGAATTATAAGGATTTATTTTTAACGGGTTGATTTTATGGCATGGGACCAGATTTGAAGTCTGAAGTCTTGAATAGCCCAAATCAGAGGCTTAATGTTAACCTGCTTTATATCATTGTTGAAACATCCACATTTATGCAGGTTTTAATTGTCTCACTTTTAAGTTTTCTTTAATAGCTCAATCTCTCTCATGTCCTAAAGCATTTCTCTAGAAGGTATATTGGGAGGTCATCATACGCATCAGACTTGAAGCTTTTTATTTGGGACAAGGAGTTTGTTCCTTTGCTGCAATTTCTCAGATATTTAGTCAGTATTTTAGGACAAAGGGTAAACTAAATTACCTCTGAATGGCCAAAAAAACCTGGATAAGAAAGAAAGCTTATATATAATTCAGATGATCACTGGTAATCCTGCCTTTCTGTTTCTACTCCTAACTCTTAAAACCACTGCAGTCAGGAGCTACACATGACTCAAGTATGTTTTGTTATGACATATCATGGCAGCTGCTGTCCCATGTGGTTGCAGACACATTAAGCATAACATGATGTAAACCTTTCCCTTGTCCTCTCAGCTCCATCCGTGGACGTCCCAGGAGGAGCAATGCCTCCCTGATAATGCGAAGGTTGGATGAGGTCTCCAGACAGCCCCCTCCAGGATCCTCACACACTGTGGATGTAGAAGACCTTCCTGGACTACCCACATACGACCAGGCAATCCGATTAAATGGACAGCATGACTTACCACCTCCTCCCTATCCCGGGTAATATGAATTCATCCTTTCTTTTGTTTTATCCTCTGACACAGTGCTTACCTTTCTCTTTGTTGTTTCAGCTCGAGACCCGGGAGTATTCGACGGTAGGATCTTCAAAGAAACGTTCTCTGACTGAAAAATTAAAACCTTAATTTATAAGTAGCATCTACATCAAGATACTCTATTTTTACGTGACAGGATTACAGGTGTCTTTTTATATATATCCATCACCTTTATTAAGCTGTTTTTTCCCCCCAAAGTAGACTTTTTTTTTTTGTAAGATTACTATATATGTAATTCTTTTGTCCTTTATTTTAATGTCACCTCTGGCATTTTCAGTCTTAAAATGACAGCAACCAAAAAACAGGCAACATATTGTTGCAGTCAGGTGAAAACCTTGTTTCTGTATTTTATTGTTGTTAGTTTCTTGTAAAATTAATCCATTCTTGGACCCTTTCTGTGGTTTCATTAATAAATATACAGTTTGCTTTTTTTGACACTTTCTAATGGATATTTATATTCAGAAGGAAAACGCCTTTTCATTTCCTGAAAAGTAAAAACCTTTAGAGAGGCAATGTTTTTGTCTGACTTGTGTTGTTCTCTGCTGTGGTTATTTGAGGTTGATGTTTTGCATCGTTTTTAGCGTCGTCCACAATCTTTTTTTCTTTAGATGAATTTACGACCTGTTGAAGACATGCCAGATATGTTTTGAAACTTCAGGGCGGTTACCAAACAGATTTTTCTTGTAAATGAATTAAAAATCAAAACATCACTATGGTCTATCAGATGTTTTTACGAAGAAAACTGTTGCTCTGCTCAAATTGAATTAAGTTAGTGTTTCTAAATAGTTTTTTCTTTTGTTTTGGTTGATCATTATTATCATCTTAGTTTTTGGTTCCCCTGTTCTTAATGTGTGCTTGCCTGAACGTATAACATGACATGTAATGTAAACCAACCTCCTTTTTTATTTGAGCTTAATTATACAGTTGAATTTTGTTTGCCGTTTTTTTTTTCTTTATTTTATCCAAAGGATGTAGTAGATAGTGTGCTCTGAGTTGTTGAAACTGTTCCTCAGAGGAGCAGACTGTGTTTGTAACGGAGTTAAAGAGAGAGCTTCTTATGGATCACATACCAAGAAACTCAGGATATTAATTTCTGGGACAGAGACAATAAGCCTGAAGCTGCTTTCATTTCCTCGATGGTAAAAACTGCCATTAAATGGATGCTTATTTTATGCACTGATCTTCCAGCTTAGTCCATAATAATTTACTATTAATTTTTCACTTTGATTTCTTTTTTTTTTTCAATGAAAATGTGATTTGTTTTTTCTTCCTGCTTTCAATGTGACAAATGTAGACAATGGGCACCAAAACAGTCATGTGAATCCTTATTTTTCGATAACGGTCAATCCTGAGATGACTTTTGAAATGTATTTTAATATCATAGTTGATCTACATCAATGCTTCAGATATTTTAAGTTTTGAAAACTGCTCAGTCTTTTGAAATAATAGAAACACATATTAGCAAATGAGAAGTACAGCTAAAACCTCTGGATATAAAACCCTGAAAAACTTTGCTTCATCTGAACCAAATGCTGTAGTTTATGCTTCAATCTAATCTGCAAAACGGATGTTTTTCAAGATGTCAGAATTAAGGGATTTCATGAAGGAACTGTATTTTTCACATGATGTTAAGTAGAGTTTAAATCTAAAATATTTTATTTTAATAAAATTCTATTTTAATTATATGTGTCATTTGTTCTATTGCCTTGATTCTTCATACATTATTGGGAAAAAATCCACAAACATCTAGCTTGAGTTTCACTACTACAGTTAATAAAATCACCTTAGCAACTCTTATAGTGTTTAAAAGACCTTGTTTAATCTTGACTATATACTCTCCACTATTTGATACACAGTTAAGTTTTTTTTCTCTTACATTTTCCAAATGACTGGATTTTGTTAAATCTGAACTGAAACATTTCTTTCATACTCATTGCAGTGAGCTGTTTTAGATGTACATGGTTCTAATGTCTCAAATAAAAAAATAATTTAAAAGTGAGCTTAAGAAATTAAGTTCAAAAAGTCTGATGTGATGGTATACTTACATTAATTTCTATTTATTTATATTGTCCCCAAACTTTGCTTTTGCAGTAAAATACATTGTACGGCACAAAAAGAATTCTCACAGAAATATTGTGGCACTATTGTCCTCTAACAAGAATTTTCACCCAGTTGCTGACACCCACCTAAACAATGGAAGGTTAAAAAATGTTATTGCTAAAAATGCTAGCGGTTCAGAGAACTGTCTTAAACTATATTAATGAAGGCTTAAGTGAAAGTAAAAGGTGAGCTAGAAACGAGATGCTTTGATTTCCTGCATAGCGTTGGGGGATCAAAACACCTGGCCTGGTCAGCCAGGCCAACAATGACGACTCCCCCCTTTGAGAGGCATAGACTAGTATCAAGTATTGCAGACTCGCAAAGAACTCAAACATTTCTAAGGGGTGGATCCGTTCTTCTGGTTCAATTTGCATGTTTTCTAATCCAAAACAGGGCTTTGTTTGGGCTACTCTATAAAGCTTGTAACTCAACACTAATTCTGACATTTTGAAATGAAAAAGCTTCCTGGATGAGAAGAGAAATGTCTTCAAACTTGGAAAACCAAGTCCACTGGATTGTTTTTTGACTCTATTGGAATGACTATGACCTGGATGACTGAGAATCCTGACCAGCATCTAGACTCTGAACTTACTAAAACTTTAAAGAATCACCAGGATATTGTCAAGAGAAGAGATTAGAAACATCATACAACATGCAGATGATCTGAAAGACCCATTCAACCAATCTGGGTTTTTCTTACCCCTCACAAGGAATTGTCTCCTCAATAAAACAGCACTGATTAAGTTGAATTTTTAAGTTTAGGGACTGTTACATAGTTTCAATTAACCTGCACAGTAGACAAAATACAATTTAGATTTTATTATTCTGAACAAAATAGAAAAAATTTATTCTATTTAGCAAAATATACATTCTCTAAAGTTGCTTTTTTTAGTCTATTCATGCTTAAATATGATGACCACATTTCTTTTTTGGAACATCTGGAGTGATTTTTTTTTATTATCATTAAAGCTACAATGTGTAATTTTCAGCAGACTGCAGCGGCTTGAACCGCCCCTCTACATTACCACAATACGGAGGCCATCATGGTTCAAAACGGCTTCCACAACATTTGCTTTACCTATCTTTTGAAGTGAGGATGGGGTTATTTACATTAGATCACAGCATCAAATTCATACTTTCTTCAATACTGTTGTCCCAAGTACAATGACAAGTATACTAATTAGGAAATTAGAGATTAATTGACAGTTGTTTTAGTGAAGGAGACCACAGATACAAGCTTTGTTATTATAAAAATGGAAATAATGTTGAAAAAGTCTGGCTAAAAAAAAACTTTGACTGATGGCAGGAGAAAGATGTGAGTCCACCCAGAAAACAAAGCCCCAATAAAATGTAACAACTGGCGATTTAAATTGGCTGTCTTCATAATAATCATAATGACATCACAAAATGAATACAACATTACAGATTTCCAGAAATCCTATTCTTGACATCAGCTAATAGAGATGTCATTACAGATATCAACCACTTATTTTATGACTAGAATTCCAGATAACTCAATTTTAATAATGCCTATCTAAAATGTTGTTTGAAATACTTGCAAAAGAATTATGAGACTCAATTTTAACATAAAATAAGCAGGCTGACTAGTCAAATTTCTAATATAGGTAGCATTAAAGCATTCTACCTTGTCACAATTACAATATTCCTTGTCAGAACTGTATTATAGATATCACTAATTACATTACTAACAGTAGAAATAAAATTTTAAGTAATCTGAAATAACTTTTGTACAAGTAAGAACTACATTTCAGATATCTAGAGATCTTTACTTATTTTAAGTGGCTATTTTAACATATATTTGCTAGAATGGATATGTATTTCACGTATCTTTGATAGTATTCCTCCTATTTAAAACATCAGATATCTGAAATGTAACTCTTACTTGTACAAATGACGTCATTTCCCCCCATTCATCTGACAAGTGATGATAAGTTTAGCAGCAGGTCATTATTAATTGGTAATCCTTTTGGAGAAAGCCTGGTCTGATATGGAGAGATGGCTTCCATCCCATTTTGGATGGTGCAGAAGAAAATGATTTTAAAAAATCTTGAAAAATATATACAAAGTCTTAAAATGGAATAAGAAAAAAATAGTGTTCCCCATCAGATTAATGTAGTAGAACAAATTCATCCAGATTTGGGGTCAGTTGGTCACATGACCTGGAAGCTATTAAAGAAATATATATATTTTTATTATAAAAAAAATCTTGAAAGTAAACAAAGGCTTAAATGTGTGTGTACCCCATCAGCCTAATGTAATAGAATAATTTTAAAATGTATTTGAGTCGGTGGGTGACAAGCTATTGAGGAAAAGTCCCAGTTTGTATCTTTAAAAATGTTAAATCACTCAAAATGGAATAAAACAAGTGCACCTTACAGATGTTATCTGTTGGCATGATTTTATATCAGTTTCCTCTTTGCTGATCACAATATAAGGAGTTTATTGATTTTTGTTTCTCAATAGTTCTGGGTTCAAACATTTCTGAACGGTCACTAACTCCACAACCACGTGTGGGAGGAGGGAGCAGCTGAGAGACGCTGGCCGAAATCAGAGTCCCTCAGTCGGATCAACTATGAGCTAGATCCCGCTGCCTCCGCGGAGCTTCGACATCCAACTTCACACCAACTTCACCGCGTTTCTCTCCCAGGGTTCCCGGTGGGTCGGACGCGGGGCTGCTGTGATGTTTGCCCGCTGCTTCTCGAAGCTCCGGCGTAGAAGTGAACCTTTTACCGGATGATGGAGGAGAACTGGCCGGGCTCCACCATCGCAGACGCGCTAAATACTCTGGCTGCTCCTCCTCAGAGCGAAGCTTCATGGGCCTATGAGCGCGGCTCAGCTGCTACCAAACCGAGGTAGGAGCTGAAGGAGTGGGCGGCTCACCTCCCAAGGAAAGCCCGGTGATGGAGGGCCTAGTGTTTGCTTTTAAACACAGCTGCAGACGTTAGTTTGGGCTTTACTAATATATTTTAGGATATAAACACAGCTGTGGTTGCCTGCCTCCCTCAGCTAGTTTATGTTAGCAAACAGTAAGCATTGGACTATTGCTAGTTAAAGAACACTGGGACCTTTATTATGACATGTTTGATAAGTTTAAACCAATGCAAGTTGGACAACTAGTAGCCAGTTAGTTAGTTAGTTACTGAACCGACACAACTTGGTGTATATCTGTAGATTTTTACTATTGTCATTAATTACTTTATCTCTTATACGTTTATAAGAAACTAATTACGACGATAAATGGAACAGAATATCAAGAGTAGGAAGCTGAAGTGCATAAAACTCAATTATTTCTTTGTCTAATGATAGAATAGAATAGAAAATCCCACAATGGGGAAATTCAGGTGTTACATCAGCAAAAACATAGAGAAAATTGTCACAAATAATATGGACCTTAGAAAAATTTATAAGAATAAAACAATAGTAAAGATTTGAAAGATAAACAATAAAATACTGTACTGTAAAGTGCTTTAACAATATAAAAAACTCCACCTGGATAGTAAATAACTAATAAACAGCTATGGACATTTTTAGAGTAATGGATAAAATAGCAGCAACATCTGAAATGTGCAAAATGACAGCTGCAGGTTATTCAAATAAGGTAGAGAAACTGCTGAATCAGAATGAATGTAACTTATTGAGGTTGTTGGGAACAGTGGTGGTTATAGATAGAGTCTTAGGGCTGCTGGGAGGAAGGATCTGTGATAACACTCCCTGGTGATCTAAGTATCTTTTTTTTCTTGGCGCCTGTATAAAAGCTTGCATCATCTTGAGTTAGTGATACAATTTATGGAGATTTTTTTTTTACAGTTTTCCTGTAAATTGCTGGAGGATTTCTGGTCTTAAGTCAGAGGAATCAGTAAACATGCTATAATAAGCTTCTTTCCGTCCACAGATGTTTACCTTTTGGCTGGAAACAACAACAACAAAAAAACCCTAAATGTGGTGGCTGTTTGAGTATATAGCCATGTTCCACAACAATAATTTAACCTTATTGATCTCACATTGGAGAAATTTACCTTTGCATTTCAACCCATCCCCTTGGTGAGCAGTGGGCTGCCATCGTGGGGCACTCAGGGAGCAATCCGGGGTTAAGGGTCTTGCTCAGAGTGTGTGGGAGTGGGTTTCAAACTCACAACCTCAGGATTCCAAGCTCTACACCCTAACCACAAGGTTTCCACTCCCCTACATAGTTATCAGAACTTCAGGGTGACAACTATGTAAAATAATAACATTTTATTTTTGTAGCACCCTTCAAAGCAATTTAGATATTTAGACATTTTACAAAGTGATTTCTGCACAAATAAAAAGAACACAAACTAACTTTTCCAAAATACACAATACCTATGGCCAATCAGGTTCCATTTCCTAACATACAGCATTTGAAATAATTGCTTTCCAGTATTTGAAAACATTGTGAAAGACTTTAGTTGAGCTCTTCCAGGTATAGTAACGATAATCTTTAAATGGCTTGAATTTGTTACAGAGCACAGATACAGGGAGAGGCAAGTGGCTCCCAGTTTGGTGCCAGCAAATACTCTGTGTTTTGTTTTTTAAATCAGTTAGGATAATCTTTTTCCTTAAGCTTAATGTGTTACAAGAAACATACATGATTTGATAATAGATTGAAAAAGAGGAATTTATCCTCTGAAGCTGTGCCAGAAATGCTTTCGACTTGCAGTGTGCACAGTCAGTCTTTAAAACCTTGTGT